CCAAACGGGTCAGAACCAACTGGCTTCTGGCCCAAACGGGTCAGAACGGGTCAGAACCAACTGGCTGATGGGCCCAAACGGGTCAGAACGGGTCCTAATTTGCCAAATCCATTCTCTATTTGTCAGAAAAGCTTTAGATCTCGGTGTTTAACGTCCTGTAGGTCTGTTCAAGTGGCTCACTGTTGGATTTTCCTCCTTTTTACTCCAAAAAAAACACCAAAAAGCTTTTTAAAAAGTTGGGAATGATGTTTTTCAGGTTATTTATTTTATTATTTCGATTAAATTTGCTCATAAAGTTTTTTTCTTCTATTTAGCTGTTTTTTTATTCATGTTTAGAGTCTGGGCTGCTATTCTTTGGGTTTTATTTGTGCTTATTTTTTTTGCTCATAATGTATGTTTTTATGTTTGGTGAAAAAACAAGAAATCAGAGTTTGTTTTTTGTTTTTTACTCCCCTTTGGATCTTTAACTTGAATCCATGATCCGTTTAATTGATCTGTTCATGGATCGTCTGAATTGATCCCACAGTGGTGAAATCCAGCTCCAGGGTCAGAAAACCAGAGAAAAACACCCAGAAATCCAGTCAACTGGAGGTCTGGATTAGGGATGTCCCGATCCAGCTTTTAGATCCCGATCCCGGCCTATCAGAGCATGTGTTAAAGTCTAAAGTTATTTATCTACTTACTTAGTTGTCAGACTCATGTTGAACAGGGATTTACTCTGATAACAACTTAATGGTTAGGACACAGACCTGTGGGTCAGGAGCTGCTAATGCTAATGCTAATGTGGGATCGGACTTAAATAAAAACAGGATCTGGAGTCTGGATCTGCATTTTCTCCTGCCGGCCGATACATCGTTTTTTGCGATTCCGATCTGAAGGACGTAATTTCAATAGTTTAAGGAAAAATCTACATGTATTATCATTATTTTCATTTTCACATAACTGTAAACTGAGAGAGAAAACGACTTAAAAACTCTGGTTGACAGGCGACTTAATGGATGTGTGCAGATTCAGACTTAGTGTGAAATTAGATGAGATGAACTTTTTTAGTAGTTTTAGCTCAAAACTATCCGATTTATCCAAAACAAACATGCTAATGCTAATGTGGGATCAGACTTTGAAAAAAAAAAAAGGATCTGGAGTCTGCGTTTTCTCCTGTTGGCTGATCTTATCCAGACGTCCTGACCCTGGTTCTAAGCGAAAATATCATTATTTTCATTTTCACATAACTGTAAACTGAGAGAGAAAACGACTTAAAAACTCTGGTTGACAGGCGACTTAATGGTTGTGTGCAGATTTAGACTGTGTGAAATTAGATGAGGAACTTTTTTTAGTATTTTTAGCTAAAAACTATCCAATTTATCCAAATCAAACATGCTAATGCTAATGTGGGATCAGACTTAAAAAAAACTGGATCTGCAATTTCTCCTGCCAGCCGATCCGATCCAGATATCGGATCGGGACACGCCTAGTAGGACACAGAAACCCTGGTCCTGGGACCAAGGTACAGGGACTTGGAATGAGTCTGTAGGACCCGGAATGAGTCTGTAGGACCCAGAATGAGCCTGTAGGACCCAGAATGAGTCTGTAGTACCCATAAGGACCC